TTAGTTAATCATTGGCTGAATTGGCTGATAATTCAGGAGAATTATTAATGAATTTGAGAAATAGTTCTACCAATTTACGGGTGACGTCCTTGTTGACAAAAACGTCTCTTGCTTAAAAGATGTTGTAAAGTCCGTTCTGCGCATACGTTCTGCGCAGGGGAGTGTTCATTATTTATACCCGGGGTTAGTACCGAAGAGAAATGGGTTGGGTAAGCCATTTTTCTGGGGTATGAAGGGTTGGGTAAATATTTTTTGAACAAAGCCTATGGTTGGGTAAATTATTTTCAATACAAACCTTCAATTGAACAAAATATAAAAATCCTTTATTATTTTAACGAAATGGGTCATTCCAGGAAATATCCATTCATTCCCCACAAAGAAAACTAAACTCCAACTGGGATGGGGCATCCCCTCTGATTACAACAACGAGACATAGTAGGACTGCAGGAACTTGGAGGCTTGGCAACATAATATGAACTTGTGAAGGTACAAATGATTATATTTGACATTCAGTTAGTGCACCAAATATGCACAGTACTGTTTATACTATAGTGGCCTAGCTTGTATAATAATATATATGTATGTATGTAAAATACTTGTATAATTTTGAAATTGGGTTGGGTAAAATAAAAATCCAAGTCATGCAATAGTTGGGTAGGGGGAAAAATGGTTGACCGAAAGGGTGGGTGGTTGTTTTTTTCTCTTTTCGATTAGTTTCTCTTCGGTACCAACCCCGAGTATAAATAATGAACACTCCCTAATCGTATTTTACAACTGTAGCATTGAGTTCATTACGGACTTTACAGCATCTTTAAACTCACTATTACGGCAGATGGTTCTACTCATCAACGAGAGCTTGACATTGAGTACGAAAACTTAATAACATTTTTATTATCTACAAATTGTAATACATGTTCAGGCCTGTGAGAGACCCTGTGAAACAGGTCATTGCTTCCAGGTAAATTTCTGCAATTTCAGACCATTCTGGGGAATAATTGATTGAAACAACGTGGACTGTTTTAAAAATAGTTTGCTTTTGTTACAAATTGAGATAAATAAACAATGAATGTAGTTGTAGCTGCGATTACTTGCTTCATTTCTTGTTGTATAGACATTTAGTGTCATCCTCTATTAATATCGGTTATAGGTGCAGGGGCCGGTTGTACGAAGGTCGGATAGCGCTATCCACTGGATAGTGATTTTTTCAACCTTTGTAAAATGCTTGAATAACTGTGAAACTACGGATATAGACGACACAAGAAGTATAAAAAACATTTAACTTATAAACACTAAACTTTAATATGAGTTATACCAATCAACGACTGATTTAACAAAGCTTGAAAAAATCACTATCCGGTGGATAGCGCTATCTACTGTAGACTTGCCCATACGAACTGCGAAAAAAACTGGAAAGGACTTTCGGAAAGTCTAAGCGCTATCCGGCCTTCGTACAACCGGCCCCAGAAGTGGATACGAATGCTTTAGGTTGAGTTTGTGCGTCTAATACAAAACCAAGGCTGGCCGATAATTTAAGAAAATATAAAAATAAACAAATTCCGAGTAATAATGCCATAATGGAAGAACAGATGAAAGAACGTCACCCGCATGAAAAGAAAGAATGCCCAAGCACGAAAGCCCTTCATCTATATTTTCCTTCTGGCGACGTGTGTTCTCTCACTCTCGCTCTGTATATATGCTGTATGTAAAGTATTGTATTTTATTCTGTCTGATGATGACTTTGTAATAAAGTCGAAAATTCACAATTTCAAACGTTCGTGAGATGAAAAGAAAGAGAGCCCAAGCACGCTACCTTCATCTTTCCTTCTGGTGACGTGTGCTCTCTTACTCTCATACGCTCTATCTAAAGTATTGTATTTCACTCTGTCTTTGAAATAAATTTGAAAATTCAGTTTCTCTTCAAGATGGCATTATTATTCGGAATTTGTTTCTTTTTATATTTCCTCAGTGGGTTAATAATTAAAAGTCAATCTAGAACTCATTAATAATTCATGAGCAAATTAGCGAATGAACTCACCCTAATTCGTCACATGATTGAGGTTGGATACCGCAAGGAAACACGCTAAAAATCATATACCATCACTGTTGTTAGATGAAAAACGGTTTTCATCTAATAACTGAGATCCTAATTACAAATTCAAGTCAAAACACAACAATTATACTATAATAATTACTGACGGTCATAATAACCTATTGTTTTCTCTCTGCATTATATCAGCGAATGTCGAGAAGCTAAAATAGCACCCAGCATTATTAAAAATAATGCAGCGTGCACACAGCATTATTAAAAATAAAGCAGCGTGTATCAGTGCACACAGACATTATTCGCAATCCTTCGTCATCCTGACAAGTACACGCGATAACGCGAACATCTCAAGATGAGAAGTTGACAGTGCTAAAGGCCCCTCATACAATATCATCGGGCGCCTGAAGCACTGCCAAAACGGTCGCTGTGAGTCCTTTCAGCTCAACTTTATAGAGAAATAGTTTCGTTTGCGCTTGTGGGATTTTATCCTAGATATACGCATGTGCAGAACACACCATAACTTCTATTCCCGTGTTTATCCAGTTTAATAATGTTTTCGTTCTAGATGTTATGTAAACAACTCGTTTCTCGTGTTTCATCAGCGGACCAAACACTCGAAAACAATAAAACACTCGCGCTCGTGTTTCATACAGTTTTCTCGTGTTTGGATCCCCTGATGAAACACTCAAACTCGTTGTTTACATATAACGTAAAAGGTCCAAATTATAGGAGCATGATGCTTGTGATGTTACTCTGAGTGTATACCACACCGGGCAAGCTTGAAAACTATGCCTGTCCTGGCCACAGTGGGAATCGAACCTACGATCTTTGGAATACTAGCCCAATGCTCTTCCAACTGAGTTACGCGGTCAGGTCGGTTCGAGTATGTGATCAGGTCTGTTGGAGTATTACATACTCGAACCGACCTGACCGCGTAGCTCAGTTGGAAGAGCATTGGGCTAGTATTCCAAAGGTCGTAGGTTCGATTCCCACCGTGGACAGGCATATTTTTCAAGCTTGCCCGGTGCATGTGGATATACACTCAGAGTAACATCACAAACATCATATTCACCTGAGTACATTACACCAACACAGAAAAAATTATATGAGCATGTTCTGCCGGAGGTGGTCACCAAACTGATAGTACACCGACATTTCAGGAGCGTAGAGGAAAGACACTGTGACCGGAGGTTGCCAACATTTCAGTATAAAATTTCACTTATCACTCCTGTCGGAGCTCCTGTAAAACCTCACAAAATAAATCAATCAAAATCAAAACCCCACGAGATAGACTATACCACAACACAGCCATGACCACTCCAGTAATATGTTGAGCTCACAGACTGACACAACTTGATTGTTACTATGGCAACGTATAAGTAAAATGGCGGTAGATTTGCGTTGGGAAAAGTTATAACAAACGGGTTAAACCATGAATATTTCTTAGTCTCTTGTCTTTTCGACATGGAACGTGTAAACGATAAAAATTGTGAACCTCCAATGTTCCTTCAGCGCCCTTCATTGGGTAGTTCACAAGACATTTCACATGTTTTGGCGCGTGTATTTCGGGACCTTACAAGAGAAAGTGTTGGCGAACAGACCGTAAAGAACTTAACTATTTCAAGAAGTGGAGAGGAACGTTATCACGAAGAATATGTAGAGAGGTTAGCAAAGGTAAAAGGGTGTCTGCTTCGTGCTTTATATACCAATTTAAAAGTTGGCTATGAATTTATAATACAATATATGTATATTATATAAATTTGACAATTTGTTTATTTTGTTATAAAAATTAAATGTGCTTGCACTCATTACAGTGTGTGGCCCAGTTTCGGGTCAGTACCAGTAGCGGGTCAATAGAAATTTGATTTCATTTTTTTCCGCCGAGATAAAAAGCGACGCGAAATGAAATATATAGATATAATGGTGAGCCTTTCCTTTTTCGGATGATAGTTTTCGCAGGCTTTTTAGTTGAACTGTATTCAAAGAAGAATCCCTTTTGTCCGGGTATGTTTATATTCTTTTACTAAAATTT